TTATTTATATGTATAAATAAATATTTATATAAATGTGTATGTATAAGTCAAAATTTCTGATTTGTAAAATGTAAAAGTTGTTTTGTTATTTTTGAAATAGGGTAAAGATAAAATATGGAAAGTGAATTTTTCCCAATGAAAAAACTAGCAAGCGACCGCCCAAAAGAGCCCAAAATCTTGAGTAACACCACCCCTGTAAAACACAATCAACACATTACTCATCTAAAATCAGTCCACACCATAGTTTGCCACCACTATCATCACAAAGGTTAACACACCACCGGCCAGCACCACCACAAAATATGAATCACACATTATGTTACTCGTCTAAATCTACTCCACACATTATCTGTTACCAACACCACTGCATAACATGAGTAACATACTACGTTTATAAATTTAGTTGTCACCAATTTTTCTGTTCTTCTCTAGTAAATTCTCTTAAGATGATTAATTTGTAAATAATTGATCTTTTTATTCATCTGAAAAAGTGCAAAATTACACTGCACTATTAGGTTGAGTTGGTCTAATGCACAGTCGAGTTAATAATGGTTTGATACAAATGACAATATTTCAGTGAGGATAAAAGTTATCTTATGGATTCTTAACCAAGTAAATAACTATTTTGATAAAAAAGAAAAGGTTAAAAGAAGACCATTTCTTTAGTATAAACTTTCAAAACTTAAAATGACTGCCATTGGATAACATTTCATGTGGGCACTGTAAGAATTAACATGGATTTCACCCCATCATTTGATGTATCTCTGGTCCCACTGTTATGCATACTAGAAAAGAAGACAATTGTCCTAATTGATTAATTAATTAATTAATTGAACAAGAAACTGATAATCATAAAACCATCTGTGTCTGATATCTGAGGAAAATGGGAAGATGGATTGTGTGTGGAGACATGTCATTATCAATTTTAGTTAAGGGTCCCTAGTCTCCACCCCTTATCTAGAAGCTTGTTTAAGTCACTTTCAAGTTTTCTTAAACCCCACCCCCCATATAGAAATACAGAAATGTTTTTCTGTTCACAGTGGAAAATCTTATCTTATTCATTTGGATTTGGAGAGAATCGTAAGCAAGTTTCTCCTGCCATATTAGCAAATGGACAATTTTATCCTGTTCATTGTGAGTACGAGAACAATTCCGTATATACACATACAATAGATAGATATATAGGTCGGTATCATATGATTGAAGAGGTCTGTATTATATGATGAAGAGTGCTGAAAATTT